GTAGCTCCTAGGGCAGAAGCACCAAGGATGTTTTTTGTTAATTAATAAATTAATTTATTTATTTCAAGGTTGAGCAGGGCGCACAGGGCGCTGCAGAGGCGGCTCGGACAGGGCAGGGCAGGGCGCCAGTGCGCGCAGGGAAGGGCGCTGGCGCGTTGGCAGGGCAGGGCGCTGGCGCGGGCAGTAGCGCGCACGGGCAGGGCGGCGCTGGGCAGCGAGTGCAGGCCCGCGGCGGGCGCAAAACGCAGGCACGGCGGGTGCAAGGGGCGGGCCCGCGGCGGGCGTAGCGGACAGGTGCGGGAGGGGCGAACGGGCGGGCCCGTGACGGGCCAACCGGGTAGGCGCAGCGGCGCGAAGGCAGGGCCCGCGGCGGGCCTAACGGGCGGGCGCGGCACCGGGCGTAGCGGGCAGGCGCGGCGGTGCGAAGGGAGGGCCCGCGGCGGACCTAACGGGTAGGGCGCGACGCGCAGGGCAGCAGGGCGCTACGCGCGGGCTGCAGTAGAGCGCGACGCGCGGGGCAGAAGAGCCCGCTTAGAAGGGCGGGCGCTTACCAGGGGCGGGTGCAGGGCAGGGCCGCAACGGGGCGGCTGTAGGGCAGGGCCGCGACGAGGCGGCGGCAGGGCAGGGCCGCGACGGGGCGGCGGTAGAGCAGGGCCGCGACGAGCGGCTGAGGGCAGGGCCGCGACGGGTGGCGGCAGGGCAGGGCCGCGACGGGCGGGGAGGTCAGGGCCGCAACGGGCAGCTAGGTCAGGACCACGACGGGCCGTTAGGGCAGGGCCGCGACGGGCCGGGAGGGCAGGGCCGCTACGGGCGGCAGTAGGGCAGGGCGCGCGACGGCGCAGGTGAGGCAGGCGCGAGGCGCGCTTCGGGCTGTCAGAATGTGTAGTTTGTCTAGCCTGCAGTGGGGTACTCTGTAGTGAGTATGACCCCTTAGGGTTTCCTATATGTATCCACCTGCTTGCTAGTGAACCTCCTCCTTTGCTTATTTTCTCTTGCCTAGCTAGCTAAACCCTAGCTATGGCTCCTCGTTCTGCTTACTCTTCTGACATGGAATCAGAGCTGTTACGCTCTTGGCCTGTGGGCCCCACGTGCTTCCGCTGCTTTCCTGTCTGTCGCGCGCCCCGTGGCGCGCGACGCTTTTTTCTTCCCGCCACGCGCTCGGGGCGCATGGCGGTTTTCTGCCCGCCGTGCGCCCCGAGGCGCGTGGCGGCTTCCTTCTTCACGCGTCACCCCGGGGACCCGCGCGTCCCCCCCTGTCGACGGTCTCGTCGCCCCCCCTGGAGCCCGTCGCGTCGCCCCACAACCCGCGCGCGGCCCTCGCTGCCCCGTCGCGACGCCCTGGGGAGCCGCTCGCGGCCCCTCGCTGCCCCGTCGTGGCGCCCTGGGGAGCCGCGCGCGGCCCCCGCAATTCCGTCACGGCGCCGTGGGGAGCTGCGCGCGGCCCCCGCTGCCCCGTCGCGCCGCCCTAGGGAGCCGCGCGCGACCCCCCGCTGCCCCGTCGCGGCGCACTGGGGAGCTGCGCGCGGCCCCACGCTGCCCCGTCGTGGCGCCCTGGGGGTCGCGCGCCGTCCCCCGCGCTACTGCCCGCGCTCCTGCCCCGTACTGCCCGTTTTAGGGTTTGGGGGTGGCGAGTGTGGGGGTGGCGGGTATGGGGGTGACGGGTGTGTTACACAGTCCCCTGCTCCTCCTCCTCCTCCGTCTCCCACTGCTGCAGCTGCCGCTGAGGGGGGTGGGTGTGTGGGAGCCGAGGGAGTGGTGCTAAGGGGGTGACGTGGGAGTGGAGCTAGGGGTGCAGCAAGGGGTGTGTAAAAAGGGGGGTGGGACAGTTGGGGGAGGTTGAGCGGAGGCTGCCGTCTTGTCGTCCGCAGCACCTGTAGTCCGGGGCGCTGTCCTGGTAGCCCAGAGAGCCTGCTGCGCCTGTCGCCCGTGGGTCCGTTGCTCCTGCCGCTCAGAGTTAGCCGCAGAGCCAGTTACTCCAGTAGTCCGGGGCGCTGTCCCGGTAGCCACTGTGCCAGCCGCTCCTGTTGCCCGTGTGTCTGCAGCTTCAGCCGTCGCCTCCTATCTCCTCTCCTCTCACAGTCCAGCCTCCTCCTCTTCACGTGCCCGTTGTGAATGCCTCTAGCTTTGCTTGCACTTGTGAACCTGCTCTATGACTGCTTGCTCTGCTGATTATACCCCACTTTGACTATGGGGGTGTGTCAGAATGTGTAGTTTGTCTAGCCTGCAGTGGGGTACTCTGTAGTGAGTATGACCCCTTAGGGTTTCCTATATGTATCCACCTGCTTGCTAGTGAACCTCCTCCTTTGCTTATTTTCTCTTGCCTAGCTAGCTAAACCCTAGCTATGGCTCCTCGTTCTGCTTACTCTTCTAACACGGGCAGGGCAGGAGAAAATATCGTGGTGGGCCCTAAAAAAAAACGTTCCCACTAGGGAACCTGCTCTGAAACCATGTCAGAAAGTAGGAATCAAGGATGACTAGAATGACAGCAGTACAGGGTTTGTATAGCAAAACCTAATTTGGGCTGTACCCCATAAGGAGTGCCCCACTACAGCCTAGAGCATATAAGTGCATAGTTCTGACACGTGCTTGGCTGGATAAAACCCTTGGCGAGGAGATAATCCAGCTCGCTCCTCAACTCGTCAACTTCCGGTTGGCTGGGTCGCCACTGTGTTCGAACAGTAGGTTGCGCGCCGAGCTCCAGCAGTATCCTGTGATCTTTCGGACGCTGAGGTGGCAGGCCATCGGGTAGGTCATCCGCGGAAATTTTGGGATACTTCTGATTGATGATCGCCATTCCTCAGGGAGTGGCCCGCAGAGCGTGTCGATGTCGGCAACTGTTTCGGTGGCTGCTACCTCGTACAAGTGTACAGCGTAGCCTCTTGCCCCCTTGCTGATCGCCCGCCGCATGGTGATCGCGTTGACACGTGTTGTCACAGGCTCCGGGTCCGTCCATTTCGGAAGCGTCGTTTGCCCCGTATTTCATCGCACGGTGCATGCTCCTATCGTCCAATCGATCGTCGGATTAAAACGTTGCAGCCAATCGCGCCCCAGCAGCACATCGCATCCGTCCAATGTTGTCGCAAGCATCTTCATGCCGAACCCGAAATCGTTGCCACACTTCATCCGTTTTTTTCGCGCTTCATCTCGGATAGCCAGCGGTGTCCCATCCACCAGCCTTACGTCGATTTCCGGTCGACACCTGTTCAGCTTCACCCCAATTGTTTTTCCCGTTGACAAGTTGATGAGGCTGTGACTAGCCCCACCATCACAGGGTGGTCCACGTGTCCACCCACGGAACTGCAAAATTAATGCGAGTGGCGTCGTCATAAATAATCGCAGCTTTAAAGAACACCTCCACACCAAACAACCACACGGAAACAGTGACGAACTTGTCACTTGGGTTAAATGGGGGTGGGTCCGTCGGCTTTATCTTGACATTATTTGAAGCTGCCACTTCTGCTGGTACTGTTGCTGCTGCTGATGCCGTCGCCGATGTTGTCGCTGGTGCCTACGTTGGCACTGCTCGCGACTGTTGCGCCAGCTTTCTTCTGCAGCCTCTATGGAGCATTCGAGCTCTCAGAAGACAGCCTCGTTCGGCGTTGAGCTACTACCTGCTTCATCTAGGTAGGGCGACTCCTGGCGCACTTCACCTCGCGCCTGGCGTAGTTCGGCATTTTCCACCCTCAGGTGCTCGACCTCCGTAGACAACGTCTGCATGTTGGCCTGCATCGCCCGCAACTGTTGCAGCATCTCGTTCAACACGGCCTGCTCCATATTTCTCAGGCTTCACCGAACGGGTAGGGGGTTAGTAACAATATTCTGACTTTGATGAAGGCGCAAACTCTATCGTAGTCGGAGTGAAATAATCGTATCTATTTCACAAACCGACCGCTTTGCAGCCCACCAAGTCTATCGCTCCCTTTACACAAACTACCACAGAAATGCGACGGTAACCTAAGAAAGTAGCTCTGATACCAAGTGTTATGAGTTGTATAAGAAAGAATGCGCAGGATTCAATGACGCGGAAGTTATTACAAATACTGCGTGAATAATGAAGCCTAGCACTGATATAGCGAAGGCTAGCTAGGCAGAAGTCGCGGAATCGCGAACGGTTGGGTGCAGGTTAGGGGTTGGGAAACCCGACGGCGATGTGATGGGGTTCAGAGGGCGAGGTCATCGGATCGAGCCTGGAACTCCGAAAGTTGGAGTTATACACGTACAGTGTGACCCAGTAAGGAATTAGGGAAAATTCCTTACATGGGGTGTGATGAAGGCCAACAAATTGCAACAAACAAGTACGGTACCCTAGCATCTAGGAATGCACTGTGTAAAGTATTTTTATCGCATATAACCCCAAATTTTGGAATGACAGGCTCGACTTGAAGACCTCGCCTTCAGATGCTACCTCAACATTTCAAGCATCACGAATGTCACCGCAATATTTGAAACAGTAGGCGTCACAAAACAGGTGTTCCAACCATTGACTAGGAATATATACATAATTTGACCACCCACGTTTGGACATGCCCCTAGGGTAATTGGAAGAAGAGAATGAGAGTGCCGATCTGGCATGGCCTGACAAGCACTCATCTGATCTGATCTTCCAGCTAATGCTCCCAGACAGCAAGCCAGAGCTTCTAATGAATGCAGCGGAAAGAGAGGAAAAACATCCCAAGGTATTCACTGTAATCGTGGAGAAAACACACATGGAGGACATACATTGCTTTAAGATAGGGTGCGAGCAAGAATGGGAGAACTGGGATGGTAGAATTGATGAGGCAAGGAAATAAAGGGAAAGGGAAAGCTGAAAGTGAACATCCAATGTGTGCGTGCGTGTGTGTGTGTGTGTGTGTGTGTGTGTGTGTGTGTGCTTTTGTGTGTGTGAGCATACATGTGGTGCATTTGCATGTGTGTGTGTGTGTGTGTGTGTGTGTGTGTGTGTGGGTGTGCGTGCGTGTGCGGGTGTGTGCACGTATGCTGAAAAAAAAGAGGTCACAAACTCACGGGATGGCCCACACGCCAATCTGCGGTGCGCCCGCCAGGCTGAACAACGAATTGCACGCTCCAGCACACCCGTACCCATAGTACGCACACACATTCGTGCAGTTTCCCACCCCTCCAGGAGCAGGCTCTATGCGGGTGTACGACATGACATCAGTGGCGCGGGGGAGAGTGATGTCGGTGCAGCCATCCCAGTTGACTCGCATGGTGGATGTGAAGCGAGTGATGGTGAAGTTGGGCTGATCATAGAAGGTGAAGCTTGTGGAGGAGACGGTGGGGGTGGCGCCTGGAAGGGAAAGGGAAGAGGGAGGAACAGAGGGGACGTGGAACGTGAAGGGGTTTCAATGTGAAGCTGTGACGTGCACACTCCTGCACTCACACATGCATACATCACATGCTCTTGTATGCTCACACACACATACCTTGCACGCATCCGGTGCTGGTCATGCCAAAACCAGGAGCGCACATGCAGTAAGCAGCGCGGGTCAATGGGAGAGGAGTGCACGTGGCACCTGCAGGGCATGCCCCACACGTGGCAGGTCCTGTGGGGAGGGCGGAAGGAGCAGGAGGAGGGTGAGTTGGTGAGCTGACAATGCGGTGTTGTGTGTGCAATAGCAGCCTTTCAAGTGGCCCCTGCAGGGCAGGCCCCACACGTGGCAGGTCCTGTGGGGAGGGCAGGCGGAGCAGGAGGAGGGTGAGTTGGTGAGCTGACAATGCGGTGTTGTGTGTGCAATAGCAGCCTTTCAAGTGGCCCCTGCAGGGCAGGCCCCGCACGTGGCAGGTCCTGTGGGGAGGGCAGGAGGAGCAGGAGGAGGGTGAGTTGGTGAGCTGACAATGAGGTGTTGTGTGTGCAATAGCAGCCTTTCAAGTGGCCCCTGCAGGGCAGGCCCCACACGTGGCAGGTCCTGTGGGGAGGGCAGGAGGAGCAGGAGGAGGGTGAGTTGGTGAGCTGACAATGCGGTGTTGTGTGTGCAATAGCAGCCTTTCAAGTGGCCCCTGCAGGGCAGGCCCCGCACGTGGCAGGTCCTGTGGGGAGGGCAGGAGGAGCAGGAGGAGGGTGAGTTGGTGAGCTGACAATGCGGTGTTGTGTGTGCAATAGCAGCCTTTCAAGTGGCCCCTGCAGGGCATAGCCCCACACGTAGCAGGTCCTGTGGGGAGGGGAGGAGGAGCAGGAAAAAGGGAGGGAAAGGAAGTGGTGAGAAGTGAGGAGAAGTGGTGAGAGGTGAGTATCACGTACCGACACACGTGTCTTGCACCAATCCGTATTTGCACACACAGGTCACTGCACCGGATTTTGAGGCGCCTTAGATCGCGGGTAGAGAGATGACTTTTGAGGCGCCTCCAGAGACAGGGAGTATCACCATCACGTACCAACACACGTGTCGCCCACCCACCATCTCGTACTTGCACACACAGGTCACTGCACCCGACTTTTGAGGCGCATAAGATTGCAGGTAGAGAGACGATATTTGAGGCGATCAAGATACAGGGAAGGGCGTACACGTACCAACACACGTGTCGCCCACCATCTCGTACTTGCACACACAGGTCACTGCACCCGCGGCATCATTAAGATGCCTCAAAAGAGACAGGGGATAAACACCAACACGTACCCACACACGTGTCGCCCACCATCTCGTACTTGCACACACAGGTCACTGCACCCGCGGCATCATTAAGACGCCTCAAAAGAGACAGGGGATAAACACCAACACGTACCCACACACGTGCCGCCCACCATCTCGTACTTGCACACACAGGTCACTGCACCCGCGGCATCCTTCACACACGCATGGTTGCCGTCACAGATAGAGCACGGCTCTGCAGCGAGGGGAGGTGTGAGGGAGGGGGAGAGGGGTGGGTGGGAAGTTGGAATTTGTTTGATGCATCAAAAGTCATGTGACGTTCGTCCCTCGCGCAGGCATGGTTGCTGTCACAGATAGAGCACGGCTCTGCTGGGGGAAGGTGTGGGGAAGAGGGGTGGAGAGAGGGGGGGGGGTGGGGGGGGAGGGGGGTTTGAGCTTGGGGGGGGGTTGAGCTTTGGTTGGTAATTCAAAAGTCGTTATGGCAATCATCGTGACGCATTCACAGTTGCCGACACAGATAGAGACTGGCTCTGCAGGGGGAAGGTGTAGGGAGGGGGAAGGCGGAGTTTCTGCCGCACGTTTCTGCAGCAGAAAAGAAGGGAAATAGGAAAAAGAGGAATGGTTGCAGGGTTCCAAGCATTCAAGGGGAATTTGGAGAGCAGGTGAAACATGCAAGCGGCCGCACATGCCAAGGCATGCACACAGCAGCACGTGCCAAGGCATGCACACAGCAGCACGTGCCAAGGCATGCACACAGCAGCACGTGCCAAGGCATGCACACAGCAGCACGTGCCAAGGCATGCACACAGCAGCACGTGCCAAGGCATGCACACAGCAGCACGTGCCAAGGCATGCACACAGCAGCACGTGCCAAGGCATGCACACAGCAGCACGTGCCAAGGCATGCACACAGCAGCACGTGCCAAGGCATGCACACAGCAGCACGTGCCAAGGCATGCACACAGCAGCACGTGCCAAGGCATGCACACAGCAGCACGTGCCAAGGCATGCACACAGCAGCACGTGCCAAGGCATGCACACAGCAGCACGTGCCAAGGCATGCACACAGCAGCACGTGCCAAGGCATGCACACAGCAGCACGTGCCAAGGCATGCACTCACATTGTTCCTTCTGCACTAATTCTGGGTAGGCATGGCACAGCACCTACCAATGCACCTCCTGCCATTTTCCTGCAGCACGAAGCCAGGGTCACACACGCAGGACGCCACTCCACCACTGTTCACGACACACGTGCTGTTGGCGCTGCAGGCCTTGACCACACAGGGACCTGGATGGGTGGTTATGCATGAACGGAAAGGGAAAGGGAGGGAGGGTTGTTTGGTCAGAGGTGAGTCTTGAGTCGACGGGAAAGTCACGTGCTGTTGGCGCTGCAGGCCTTGACCACACAGGGACCAGAAAGGGCGGTTATGGATGGAAAGGGAGGTAGGGTCAGAGGTGAGTCTTGAGTCGACGGGAAAGTCACGTGCTGTTGGCGCTGCAGGCCTTGACCACACAGGGACCAGAAAGGGCGGTTATGGATGGAAAGGGAGGTAGGGTCAGAGGTGAGTCTTGAGTCGACGGGAAAGTCACGTGCTGTTGGTGCCGCAGGCCTTGACCACACAGGGACCTGGGAGGGCGAATAGCCGAGGGATGGGATGGAGCATTGGAAGGTAAGAGGTGACTCTTGAGACAACTGGAAAGTCATGTGCTGAGGGCACTGCAGCGCTTGACCACACAGGACCTGGGAGGGCGGTTGCATGTAGGGACAGAGTGTGGGCGAGGAGTGATTGTGGGTGAGGAATGAGTATGGGAATAGAGGGTGGGGGGCGAGAGTGTGAGAAGGGAGGGAGTATGGCAGCAGCACCAAAACAGCAACACTCACCAGCACAGCAGCATCGCATTACCCTCCAACACCACAACACTCACCAACAGGAGAACAGCTGAAGGCGTGGTAAGGATACGACCCCGCAGGCGAATGGTCGCTGGTGGGTGGGGTGGGTGGGGTGGGATAGATACGCAAAGAAGGGCGTTGGGGGAAAGCCACAGGGGCAGAGGGCGAGAGAAGATTGATGCGAGGGAGGAGTGGTAAGGATACGACCCCACAGGCGAATGGTCGCTGGTGGGTGGGGTGGGGGAGATACGCACACACAGACATTGGGGGGAAGCCAGAGGGAGAGACGAAAACTCGAGAGACAGAAAATGCCATTCTGACATTGATTGACCCTCCTCCTGCACTCACTTGAAACCCTGTTGTTGCACTTGCACTGATTCCATTCCGGTTCCATTCGAGTCTATAGGCGGCCAAGTGGGGGGTCCCTCCCTGCCCTGACAGCTCTCCTGAGTGTAAGCATCTACCAACTCGCAGGCACCTTTGAGTCTCTCAACTCAACAAAAGCCGCTGGTAGCGGGGCGGTCAGCCGCATTGACTCACAATGACCCGCTGACTTTTGAGTCGACTCAAAAGTCACTCAACTCAACAAAAGCCGTGACTCACAATGACCCGCTGACCACCCTGCACCCATAGGATTCGTTCTGCAATCATTCCAATCCCACTCGAGGTCACAGGCAGCCAAGTGGGAGGTCCCTGACAGCTCTCCCGAGTGTAACCAAACCCTGAGTTACCCTTGAGTCAACTCAACTCCACAGATGCCATGTCTCACTGATATGATAACCCCTCCTCGCACTCACATGATTCCTTCTGCACTCATTCCCATCCCACTCGAGGCAAGAGGCAGCCAAGTGGGAGGCCCCTGGCAGCTCTCCCGAGTGTAACCAAACACTGATGCACAGTTACCCGCACCCCCAGGAACCCCGTCCACACGCCAGAGAGACAGGGCGCGCTCGGCAATGGCTGCAGGGAGGGATCTGCAGGAGTTGTATGGCAGACGCATGGTGTAGGTGTTGGGGGTGATGGTGTAGTTGGTCTGATCGTAGAAGGTGATGCTGGTGGAGGAGGCATCGGGGCGAGCTCCTGGGTAGCATGGCGGAGGGCGGGGGGATGATTGGAAAATCATGCCATGCTTGGAACGCCATGAAATGATTGGAAAGCCATGCCATGATTGGAAGGCCATGCCACAAATGGAAGACATGCCACAATTGGAAGAACATGCCACAATTGGAAGAACATGCCACAATTGGAAGGAAGGACATGCCACAATTGAAAGGAAGGACATGCCACAATTGGAAGGAAGGACATGCCACAGTCAGAAGGCTAATGCCACAAATGGAAGGCATGCCACAACAGGACAGGCCACAACAGGACATGCCACAACAGGACAGGCCACAACAGGACATGCCACAACAGGACATGCCACAACAGGACATGCCACAACAGGACATGCCACAATTGGAAGGAAGGACATGCCACAATTGGAAGGAAGGACATGCCACAATTGAAAGGACATGCCACAATTGGAAGGAAGGACATGCCACAATTGAAAGGACATGCCACAAATGGAAGGAAGGACATGCCACAATTGAAAGGACATGCCACAAATGGAAGGAAGGACATGTCACAATTGAAAGGACATGCCACAAATGGAAGGAAGGACATGCCACAATTGAAAGGACATGCCACAAATGGAAGGAAAGACATGCCACAATTGAAAGGAAGGACATGCCACAATTGGAAGGAAGGACATGCCACAGTCAGAAGGCTAATGCCACAAATGGAAGGCATGCCACAACAGGACAGGCCACAACAGGACATGCCACAACAGGACAGGCCACAACAGGACATGCCACAACAGGACATGCCACAACAGGACATGCCACAACAGGACATGCCACAATTGGAAGGAAGGACATGCCACAATTGGAAGGAAGGACATGCCACAATTGAAAGGACATGCCACAATTGGAAGGAAGGACATGCCACAATTGAAAGGACATGCCACAAATGGAAGGAAGGACATGCCACAATTGAAAGGACATGCCACAAATGGAAGGAAGGACATGTCACAATTGAAAGGACATGCCACAAATGGAAGGAAGGACATGCCACAATTGAAAGGACATGCCACAAATGGAAGGAAGGACATGCCACAATTGAAAGGACATGCCACAAATGGAAGGAAGGACATGCCACAATTGAAAGGACATGTCACAAATGGAAGGAAGGACATGCCACAATTGAAAAGACATGCCACAAATGGAAGGACATGCCACAAATGGAAGGACATGCCAAATTTAAAAGCCCATGCCATTATTGAGGCCATGCCTTTATTGGAAGCCATGACCGTACCGCTGATGCAAGACGAGTACCCCATGCCATAGCCAGGAGGGCAGATGCAGTACGGCACATTGCCAGAGGTAACCGTGCAGGTGGCTCCTGTAGGGCAGTTCCCACATGTGGCGGGGCCTGGGGTGAGGTGATGGGGAAGAGGGAGAGGAGACGAAGAAAAAGGAGGAGACGAGGAGAAAAGAAACACGTCATGACACAGCACAGCAGGGAACGACAAGGCAACCGTGCACGTGGCTCCTGTAGGGCAGTTCCCACATGTAGCGGGGCCTGGGCTGGGGGGGTGGAAAAGAGGAAGGAGATGAGAAAGAGTGCAAAAAACGATTCATCACACACACCACAACAAACCCTGGCAAAGAAGATGAATCTGCTTTGTGCTCCTCAAATTGGCACAAGATGGCACACGATGGCACAAGATGGATCATGGAACAGAGAACACCAGCACGGAGCAGCAGAGGAGCAGAGAGATTTTTGACAACACACCAGCGTGGCGTCAGACTTGACTGACGGCACCCCCTACACTAACACGAACGCCCCAGCAAAAATACCCCACAAAGAAACACAACACAAGCTATTACAGGTCTTAGCGAATTACACCACTAACATGACCGTACGTACCGACACAAGTGCCGGAGATGCTCTGATAGCCCGCCTTGCACACACAGGTTGCCCCGCCTGCAGCGTCCCTCGCACAGTCAGTTGTTGGATCGCAGATCTTGGACCCACACGCCTCTGAGAGGGGAGATTACAAAAGAGTGGTACAAACATAACACCAAGACAAGAGATGACTTTGGATCTTAAATCCACAGGCCTCGGCGGGAGGAGAAAAGATGGGGAGAAGGGGAAGGGCGAAAGAGAGGGAGTGGGGAAGAGAGATTGCCTGACTTGAACGGACCACACGCCTCTGCGGGAAAGGCAGCAGGCAAGGAGACATTCTCGAGGCCATGAGGAAAGTGAAGGAACAACGGTAGGGTACGGGGAGAAGAGTCACACAGGAGTACGGGGGAGTGCGACTGACAGCGAAAGCAATCTTCTTCTGGATTGCAAACAACATGGGGCTTACCGCTGATGCAGCCGGTGCTAGTCATGCCATAGCCGGGAGGGCACGAGCAGTATGGAACGTTCCCAGAGGCAGTGGCCGTGCACGTGGCTCCTGCAGGGCAGCCCCCACATGGGTCGATGCCTGGAGAGATGGGAAGGAGAGAGGATGGATGAGATGAGGTGACTTTTGAGTCGACTCAAAAGTGGCAGCAACAGTGCATGTGGCTCCTGCAGGGCAGGCCCCACATGGGTCGATGCCTGGACAGATAGGGAAGGAGAGAGGAGGGAGAGATGGAAAGGAAAGTGGAGGGAGTGTGGATTAGGAAGAAGGCAGTGGAGAACGATTTTGTCTTTTCTAGAACCCTTATGGTGGATTGGGAGTGTGAGGGATGAGAGCGAGGGGCTGTATAGTGACGGAGCTTGTTTTGTTTGTTGAAGCAAAGGAGTGGGTGATGTGATGCGAATGGGGTTATTTTGAGCACAGAGCAAAGCACAAAGTTGAGCAACACGCAACTCGCAAAAGGTTATTGTGGCCTCAAAGGTAGTGTATTTATCTTATCTGAACACATATAAGGAGGGTGTACAGGCTTGAATGAAATAAAGGCGTAGAAAACAGAAAATGCAATGCATGCAGCAAAGGTCATCCTAACGGATTCATTCACTCAATCACTGTACGTCAGTCAATGCCACCTGCACGTCAGTCAATGCCACCTGCACGTCAGTCAATGCCACCTGTACGTCAGTCAATGCCACCTGTACGTCAGGTCAGTCAATGCCATGTGTGCGTCAATCAATGCCACCTGTACGAACCGACACACGTGCCCGACACATTCTGGTAGCCCGTCTTGCAAACACAGGAGGCCACACCTGCACCGTCCTTCACACACTCAGAAACCGTAACGTCGCAGCCCTGAATGGCACAGGTATCTGAGGGAAGGATGGAGGGGGGGGGGGGGATGACTTTTGAGTCGACTCAAAAGTCAGCAGCGTCCTTCACGCACTCAGAAACTGCAGCGGTGCAGCCCTGAATGGCACAGGTATCTGAGGGAAGGATGGAGGGGAGATGGAGGGAGAGGAACACGGCACCACGTGGCACCACATGGCACACGCATCTGATTGGGACAACGGCTCACATTTCACCTTGAAGACGTCTCAAAACGGGCCAAGAAGAGCATACGAGAAACTAAAAAAAGAAGGGGTGTTAGCGTGAAGAACGATTGGGAAGGAGGTGGCTTTCAACTGGCCTCGAAAATTAAAATGGACTTTTGGAAGGAGGTGGCTTTTGGAATAGACTTGGGAGTGGAAAGGGGGTGGGCGGGTGAGAATGGAGGGAGTTGAAGAGGAGATGGGAAGGGGACGAGAGGAGAGAAACAGAGGCAAGGCCAAGAACATAACAGCAGCACGTACCAGTGCACGTCCTGCCATCCGCCTGCAGCACAAAGCCAGTGTAACACAGACAGGACGCCACTTTAGTAGTGCCGAACTTCATGCACCGGCTGTTCGCACCACAGGCCTCGAGTGCGCATGTGTCTGTGAGGGGGGAGAGAGCGAGGAAGGAGAATAATATGTGAACGGAGAAAGTTATTTCTTACAGAACTGGGGTTTACGGTTAAAGGTTTGCCAGGAACAGATCTATGGCTTGCTTTGCCATGGAGCACAGGAACAGCAGTATATGCAATCAGGAACACAGCTTGCACAAGTTTCAAAGCATTGCAGCACATACAAGCATAAGCACACAGCAGCAGGCACTACTGCACGTCCTGTCATCAGTGCACTAGCGCACATGGCAGCATGTAGCAAGGCGAAGCACATGGCATGATGGCAGCATGTAGCAAGGCGAAGCACCTACCGGTGCATGTCCTGCTGTCAGCCTGCAGCACAAAGCATGTACAAGGCTAAGCACTCAGCAGCAGCACAACACCCACCAGTGCACGTCCTGCCGTCAGCCTGCAGGACGAAGCCAGAGTTGCAAACACAGGGCGCCACAGCATAGCACATGGCACATGGCACATAGCAAATCACATGGCATTGAGTAGGCATGGCACAGCACCCACCAGTGCACGTCCTGCCATCAGCCTGCAGGACGAAGCCAGAGTTACAAACACAGGACGCCACTCCACCGCTGTCCTTGATGCACGTGGCGTTGCCTCCACACGCCTTGAGCACGCATGTGTCTGGGGAACGTGAGAAAGGTAACGGGGAGGGGAAGGGGTGAGGGGGGAAAAGGAGATGGGAGGTGGGAGGGGACGGGGGAAGGGAAGGGGGAGTAACACGGAAATGATATGTGAAGGAACAGCCTACACTACATGACATGACATATGTGACCCTGCAACCGATTACTGCTGCACAAGGCAGCAGCATGGCACAAGGCAGCAGCATGGCATGTGTGGTGTGAATCTGCCATTGCTCATGGCATCAGCACGGTGCCACAATATTCGGCACATTGATTGCCATGACAGTGCACACATGGCAACGCACGGATACACATGACAATGCATGTACATGACATAGCACAGCAGAGTACACAACAAATGGCGTAGAACAGATGGAATAACACCCATGGCATGGCACATAGCAAGGCACATATCATAGCACATCGCAGCACGTGCCGTGCCCTTGCAAAGTAACATAGCCCATGGCACGGCACAAGGCATGACACAAGGCATGGCAAATGGCATGACACAAGGCCTGGCACATGGCATGGCACAAGGCGTAGCACAAAGCATCGTACAAATAGCACATGTCACGGGGAATGGCTGACACATACCAGTGCATGTGACGCCATCAGGCTGCAGCACGAAGCCAGGGTCACACACACAGGACGCCACTCCTGCAGCGCTCTTCACGCACTTGGCCCCACACCTCTTGAGCACACACGTGTCTGCCAAGGAAGGGGGAGGGGCAGAGGGGATTGTGAGTGGGAAGGGCAGCATGCCTAAAGCAACAGCAATGGATGACATCGGCATAACGCACGGAACACCTGGGTTTTAGGGTTTCGGGTTTAGGGTTTCGGGTTTCGGCATGAGCAACGGGTCAGGTTGGCTGGGTCAGGTCACTCTGGTAAGCTCGACCCGACCCGACCCGACCCGACCCGACCCGCTATGTTGCAAAATACGCGTATAGCGTATATACGCGTGTCGTATATACGCAAGTGTATATACGCTATACGCTAAGGGCCTCAATCCAGGGATACGCTATTTCGGGCAGGAAAAATTATACCCGGGCAGGGTGAAAAAAATACTCTCTATTCTCACTAAGGCGTGCCCTACCCTAGCATTCTCCTGGTTCTGAAATTCGGGTGGGGTGGGAGGTGGAATAGAGATTATCGCTAGACAGAGATAGTAGTAGGAGTGGGCTCTGCTGGAAGCGAGAATAGAGATTGGGAACTGACGAGTTAGCAGTTGGGTGGCTGGTAAGTAGCGTGAGGTTTGTTGGGGGGTCAATTTTCACAGGTTGGCTTTCCTAGATGGAATGGGTTTCAATGCGGTAGATGGGTTGGGTTTCAATGCCTATATGGGATCTCAAATTGACATTCGATTTGCCATGTGTCAGAGAAATTTGAAGTCAGGGCTCAGTTCGGCAGCCAGGGGGAAGAAAAATGTTAGGAAGATGAGGAGAAGGTGAGGTGCGCGTCAACCCAGGGTCAACGATTTTGACCATGGTTTGACCGCACCGCGGACAACCTGCGCTGTGGGGGAGCTGGCGCAGGTTGAAGGGGGGAGATAGGAAAAAACGCCGCAGGTCCAGGCACATTTGCCCTCACATTCGAATGTCCCAGAGCACTGTAGCAAAGCGAAAATTCTCGCCCAAAATAAAAAATCCCATGCACATTTGCCCTCGAGTAGGGTTTCTTTGTGCAGTAACCCTTTATTTCGTAGGGTGCAATGTTGTCCCGTGAACAGTGATTCTTGTGGAATCAATAAGTTGATTCTTCTGTTTTCAAAGAATCACTTTCTTCTTCCGTCTCACTGGGGCGGAAGCTTTCCGCCAGGGGGGGGAGAATAAGGATAGAAGACGGAGCGGAATCAATTTTTGATGGTGTTCGCGTCGCTGCTGTAAAACACCTGCGCCTCGATTTCCGAGTTTTTTTCCCTACAACCCGCACTGTAGAGCCCTCGATAATGCGATTGGAAGCTTCATAGAGAAAGCCAGAAATTTTTCTTCCGTCCTTCTTCCGTGGCTGCCGAACTGAGCCCAGATCCCTGCTTCCCTGACCTCAGATTTGCATTTCGACAACGGCGAAATGCTCACCAAGGAAATCCGCACCTTTTTAGCGATTTTTTTCGGGCTGCCCTAAAATTTTCTGAAAGCGTATAGCGTATTAGGCAGCGTATAGCGTTTTGCATATAAACGCAAGCGTATATCCGCTATACGCTTTAGGGCCTGAGCGTATATCGCAACATAGCCGACCCGACCCGACCCGACCCGACCCGACCCGACCCGACCCGAACCGTCCCATCCCATCCCGACCCCACCCGACCCCACCCGACCCGACCCGACCCGGCTCTCGGGTCGGGATCTGCCAGTAGGTCGACCCGACCCTGTGTACACCGACCCGACCCCCTTGAGCTGGGCCGGGTCAGGTAAACCCTGAGCGTAACAAAGTTCGGTTGGGAAAATCCTCAGTCTTACTCCACCCGGCCAGCGCGAAACCAGGTTGGGTCAATCGGGTTGACCCGACCCGGTGCTCACCCCTAACCGAATCGCTGTCTTTTTGGCCGTATGCAGCAGCACATACATACTTTTGAGACGTCTCAAAAGTCCATTGCTCACCCTAACCAAATTGCTGTCTTCTTGGTCGTATGCAGCAGAACATACATACGAAGCAGTGCATTCCGCGCAGCACCCACCAGTGCATGTTCTCTTGTCAGCCTGCAGTACATACACGCTGAGGCACATAGAAGCACATGCACGTGTACACACACAGCAGCAGCACCTACCAGTGCACGTCCTCTTGTCAGCCTGCAGCACAAAGCCAGAGCGACAAACACAGGACGCCACTCCAGCGCTGTCCTTGATGCACGTGGCGTTGCCTCCACACGCCTTGAGCACGCATGTGTCTGGGCGATCGGCAAGGGAGAGGGGAGGGAGGAGAGGAGAGAGGAGAGAGTAAGAATGACTGACGTAATAAATTACAGCAGATTCACGTTTTCATGATTCCCAAAAGTGATTCGAGTAGAGCGCGTGAGGAGAGCATATAAGGACAGACGTAATACGTGACTGCTAATGTACACACGAAGGGCAAAAAAACCCTCTTAACTTAGTGAGTGTAGGCACGTATAACATATATTCCCAATCCAAATCACAAATCTCTATCAGAAAGCACAGCAGCACTCACCAACACAGCCGGTGGGGGTCATGGAGAATCCAACGTTGCAGATGCATATGGCGTCGCCCCTCTCCTTCACGCACACCGCATTGGCGCCACACTTCCTCTGCACACACGAGTCTGGTGCATGTTTGTTCAAAGGGAGCAGAGAGGGAGAGAGGATCCAGACAGAGGGATGGAACAGAGAGGAATAGAGGAGGAGAGGGAAAAAGGAACGAGCGGAGAAAACAGGGAGGAGGAGGGAAGAGCAGCGAAGGAGAGGAACAGGAGAGTGCGATGGAGAATTGATAGGTGGAATGGAGAGAGCAAAAAGCGCTGGGAACAGCCAGCCACCTCACGTACTACTAAGGACTTTCTTAGTAGAAACATATGTGTGGACGAAAGAAACTGATGTGTAGTACACGAGACTGGAAAAACTCATGTGTGAATGGGATAGGAGGGAGAAATGGATTGCGGAGGGACAGGGGGGGGGTGGGGCCGGAAAGAGCGCTAGGTATCAAGCATCGCATCACACACCCTTGAGGGGAATGTTTGCGTTTCAGCAGGCACTAGTTGCTGTTGCGTCTCAGGCCCTGGTGGTGGTGGTGGTGGTGACTACGAGAGGCAGCGTTACTCGCTAGCTCTGCTGCTGACTCATGGCTGGCAGCGTTACTCGCTAGCTGACAACCTTAGGGGATTGAGGGCAAGGGAACGGGCCATGGTGCGTTTCAGCAGGTCCTAACTGTCACGTTTCAGGCCTTGGTGGTGGTCGTGACTACTATAGGCTGCTGACTTACGGCTGGCAGCGTTACTCGCAGCTGGCAGGCGAACAGCAGCAGCCCTGGGCGCACAGGCTGAGAGCGGATGGGGGGAGGGATGGTAGGGGGGAAGGGGTGTGAGTGAGGGGTGGGAGGAAAGAAAGAAAGAAGGATGGGAAATGAGGCGAACAGCAGCGGGCCTGGCAGCACAGGCTGAGAGCGGATGGGAAAAGGCGGGAGGGGTGGCGGGTTGAAAGGAGGGTTGAGATGAGAAGGGAAGGGCATGAGGGAAGGGAAGGGAAGGGAAGGGAACGAGGCGAAATCAGCAGCTGATGACGGCAGTGACATGCGCAGCAGCTGGAGAAGAAAGGCAGCAGCCCTGGGTACACAGGCTGTGAGCGGGTGGGGCAGAAATGTGGGAGGCGGAGGTGGAAAGTAAGAAAGGGATGGAGAGGGAGAAATGAGAAGGGAAGGAAGGCGGGCCCAAGGAGGGGTGGAGGATGATGGAAGCAGTGGGTGTTTACTCACGGCTTGTGAACGATAGGCAGAAGCTGACCGGGGCATGTTGAGAGCATGATTGAGAGCATGGCTGAGAGCATGGCTGGGAGCATGGCTGAGAGCATGGCTGAGAGCATGGCTGAGAGCATGGCTGAAAGCATGGCTGAGAGCATGGCTGAGAGCATGGCTGAGAGCATGGCTGAGAGCATGGCTGAAAGCATGGTCGGGTGCATGGCCGAGAGCATGGCTGAGAGCTTGGCTGGGAGCATGGCTGAGAGCATGGCTGAGAGCATGGCTGAGAGCACGGCTGAGAGCATGGCTGAGAGCATGGCTGAGAGCATGGCTGAGAGCATGGCTGAGAGCATGGCTGAGAGCATGGCTGAGTGCATGGCTGAGAGCATGGCTGAGAGCATGGCTGAGAGCATGGCTGAGAGCATATCTGAGTGCATGGCTGAGAGCATGGCTGAGAGCATGGCTGAGAGCATGGCTGAGAGCATGGCTGAGAGCATGGCTGAGAGCATGGCTGGGAGCATGGCTGGGAGCATGGCTGAGAGCATGGCTGAGAGCATGATTGAGAGCATGGCTGAGAGCATGGCTGAGAGCATGGCTGAGAGCATGGTCGGGTGCATGGCCGAGAGCATGGCTGAGAGCTTGGCTGGGAGCATGGCTGAGAGGATGGCTGAGAGCATGGCTGAGAGCATGGCTGAGAGCATGGCTGAGAGCATGGCTGAGAGCATGGCTGAGAGCATGGTTGAGAGCATGGCTGAGAGCATGGATGAGTGCATGGCTGAGAGCATGGCTGGGTGCATGGCTGAGAGCATGGCCGAGAAAATGTGCATCACCTGATAGCAAGAGAGCACAGCTGAGAGCATGTGAGGATACCTGAAAGCATGAGAGCCAGCAGTGCAGCAAGCACGAGGCGAGAGGGTCGCGTCACAGCCACGCCGCTCTGCGAATGCGCCATGATCGTGCCTCTTTCAACTTTTGAGACGTCTCGAGAGGGTCGCGTCACAGCCACGCTCTGCGAACGCGCCATGATCGTGCCTATTTCAAATCGGGCGAGACTGAGAAATATGCTAGTAGTATTGATGCGGAAATTTCAGACAGCAGCAGCAGCAACAGCGGCAGAGCAGTAAACTCAGGTGCAAGTGCAAGCAAGTTTAAGCAGGTAATGATATCGCTAGGAAGAAGATAATTTTGGGAGTAGCTTCAGATTCAGCGACTCAACGAATCAGCAATGGGAGTCAAAAGCCGTGAAAGTGGATACTTCCCAAGGTTAGGGTTAGGTATCCGAAGTAAGGGAACCATGGACGAGTAGTGCAGTGCAGACGGAACAGTACAGTCTGGTCGAGCTTCTCGGGGGAAACTGATTCCAGCAGATGCAATGACGTGTTGGGGTTGACGCGCTACAAGCGTGGATGTCAAGAAACCCATTTCACGTAGCAACGATGACGATGACGGTAACGATCTCTCTGTTGCCGCCCGTTTTTTTCGCGCTAGAAACAGAAGGGTCCAACGAAGACTTGTGTAGGCAGAAACTGGAACTGGCTTCAAGCAGAAACACCTGCAGTTCAACCTGACAGGACGAGGGGGTATCACGTGAAGGTGATGTATGACGTGGTTCAGGTAATACCGTACAGTCTACGTATGGTTCAGCTACACCGTCTCTCTCAGGGTTTCGACGACCCAACAGACAAACGAGTTTCGTGATGTCGGAGATGTTTGTACAGCGCATGCTGTTACATTTGGAACACGACAAGAATGCTGCCATGCGTACAGTCGCCGTCAAACAAGTCCTTTTCCTAGAGCCAAGGCAACCGTTGGAAGTATGTGGAGGAAACCGTCCTGCTTTACTTTTGACGGGCAAAGAACGGCCATTTTCAGGTGCATGCAACTCAGGGCGTGTCCCACGAGTTCATTTACAGTTCATGTTCATGTGTGTTACCCTATTTTGCGATTGTAACCCTCTACTGTATACATGCGCCTTAAATGACGCATGACAATTGACGCATTTCCCGCGTCGATGTGTTCGTTTTGAACGCGTTTAGAAAGAGAACCTACGTACGTGCGATCACCTCGAACGGGTCCGCGTGAGGGGTTACCGTAAACTCCGAGTTCGCCCAACATAAGGTCTCGCGGAAAAAACGAACGTCTCCAGGGGTACCGAGTCGCGCCCCAGTACCGAGGGGCATTCGATTCGCAACCGGGGCGGGTTACCGCTCGCGGATTCTGTCAATTGTGAATCGCATGACGTTTTTTGTGTGGGCAAACTATGCGTCCGCCTGGTGCAATTCCGTTTTGCTCGATGCTGACACATTCCGTTTTTTCTCCGTCAGAGTGTACACTCTTTTGCTGACTCGCAGTTTACGTAAAAATTTAGGATTTTCCCCAAAACGAACTCATGGGACACGCCCTTAGTCTAGGAAATGTATTCAAGTGCATGCCATGTTATTCGGCAGGTGTGTACACTTTACGCAGCTTAGAAATTTGTTATCGTAAAATATGCGATTCCCAAGATTCGTTTCGAATTAGCACAAACAGTCGAGAATAGATGCGATTTCGGATTACGGGAATGGTTGGCTCTCGATGCTACATTTTCTGACGTCACCAGAAGCAATCATTGCTTGTTTGCCAAATTTCGACGTGAATTTCTGCTTTGCCCCAACTCTTCTTGAACGAACTTAAATGCTAGATCAGTTGTACCCTTGATGCGGGTGACGGACGCTGCGCAGGGCAAATCAACGATTTTTTCTTGGGCGTGCAGAAATTAAGAAAGGATGATCCGAAGAGTGAAAAATCTGCCCAAGTTCTAATAGAGTTTCCTTTATCGCTATAAATAAATACGCTACAAGAATTATAAATGGCAAGTAATGAAAGCTAAGGTATCCCAATAATTAGAATATACATGTACCGTATGAACATTATTTTTTGTAGGGGCAAACATTACAAACAGTCGGGCAGACTTCTCATAATTGGGATTACCCTTTCCAAAATTCTGCACGCCCAATAAAAAAATGTTCATTTGCCATGCACAGCGCTCGTCACCTGTGTCAATAGTGCAGCTGATCTAGCATTTAAATTTGTTCAAGAAGAGTTGGGGCCAAGCAGAAATTTGCGCTGAAATTGGGCAAACATGCAATGATTCCTTCTGGTGACGTTAGAAAATGCAAAATCGAGAGCCAACCATTCCGATTTCGCTTTGCGTAATCCGAAATCGCATCTATTCTCGACTGTTTTTGCTAATTTGAACCGAATCTTGGCAAGCGCGTAATTTTAAGATGACACGTTTCTAAGCTGCGTAAAGTGTACACACATGCCGAATAACATGGCACGCACTTGAATACAGTTCCTAGACTAAGTTGCATGCACATGAAAATGGCCGGACAAAGAAACCAGTCGGATCGGGAAACGTCGATGCGCGAAGTTATGCTAACCAGGTACACCCTCATTCTCGGCCTGGCTACAATTGGGAGCCCTGGCTACAGTGCGTACTGTTGCTTGGACCCTAGCGATCTGGTGCTTGGAGCCTAACCCTAGGTAGGTGGCGGGCAAATGCACTCCATAGGGCTGGTATACAACGGTAGATATAAGTAAAATTGCTTTTGCGTACGGTTGAGTGCGGCAAATGTGCTTACATGGTATGTTCGTGGTGACAGTAGATCTGCACTGTGGATGCCCGATTGATCCTGGAGAGGGTTACAGGCGCGTTCGCCTGGGGGGTTATGGGCGCACTGACCCGCTACTGAAACAAGCCCTTTTATCCCAATGGTCTAGTGGTTGGGATTCTGACATGGTATCAGAGCGGTCTCGGGTTCGATTCCCGGTGTATGCACATGTAGGCCGTTGCCGCTGTGCTTAGTCCTGGGCCTCCCAGTGTGGGGGGGTGTCAGTAGATCTGCACTGTGGATGCCCGATTGATCCTGGAGAGGGTTACAGGCGCGTTCGCCTGGGGGGTTATGGGCGCACTGACCCGCTACTGAAACAAGCCCTTTTATCCCAATGGTCTAGTGGTTGGGATTCTGACACGTGGACCATCTTGGACGCATTGATGTCATTGTGGCCGGCATGTTCATGTGGCGATTGTCAGTGTGGCGAGAATGAGGGTGTATCGGCTCCCACTCTCGCATTGGCCAAGCAAGCAGACAAGCCCGCATGCTTCGCTTGTTCAATGCAACCCTTCGATACAGAAGTCCCGAGACACCGTGACGGTCGATTTTCCGACGAATTCTCGTTGCAGCTCGATTGCCGTGTCGCCACGCCAAATCTGAGATATTTTCAAAAGGGTAAGTAGATTTGGCGGGGGTACTACTAGCAACCCTGCGCTTTCCAGGGAACTACAGTGCTAGTTGCGGGCACTTTCCGCCCCTCTGACCCTCAGATAGGAAAGTTATGGCAACAGCACGGGTTTTCAGCTTAGCAGGAAGAGGTACCTGGACCCCTCCGCTTTCAGGGCAGAGGTACTGCTGATTGCGCATGGTTTCCGCAAAAGGCTGGGCTAGGGGGGGAGACTTATCGTTCAGGTTAGGGACTCGAGCTCTCAATGAGCCATGCGTTACATCCTACACATCTCGCTCACTGTACATCTACAATCGCATCATCTGCACACCACCTGCTTGTCTTTTCTACCGAACCCAACCCACGTTCCGGGTGGCTCGAAAGCCCACTGTTCCGAAACCTGTGTGGGCCCTACTGTTCGCGCCACTACAGTACAAGGGTCACTGAAAACGCACAGTAACTCCATCAAAGTCCCCAACTGAAGGCTGTGGCACAGAGCAAAAGCGTACTGACTGCGGGCAAACAAAATAAACCCCATGGCTTACTGCATGCCATTTGGGAGCCTCAACCCTAAAATTTTAGGGTTGATGCTCCCGAAATGGCATGCCTTCCGACTGGGGTTTGTTTTCTCACTTGCCCGCTGAATCATTGCACTGCCTGCTCAGTGCAATATGTTATCCAGAAAAACTCATTACTATAGGTCGGTAGAAAAGACAAGCGCGCACAGTGCACATATGAAGACTGTATATGCACAGTGAGCGAGCAGTGTGTGGATGTAGCACGTGGCTCATTTAGAGCTCCGAGTCCCTAACCTGAACGATAAATGTCCCCCCCTAGCCCATCCTTTAGCGGAAACTATGCGCACTGAGTGCTACCCCTTACCTGAAAGCGGAAGGGTCGGGATACCCCTCCCCGCTAAGCTGAAAACCCCAACAGCACAGAACTCGGTCCCAAATTCACCCACGTGTCACAAATTCGGGAAAAGTAGAAAACGCAGGGCAGAAAAAAACAAAACCCATAGAGAACCTGGACCCATTTTTGGGAGGGATCAACCCTAAACACGGGAACTCGCATTTTTTTTAGGGTTGATGCCTCCCCGAGACGCATCCCTTTCCGATTGGGTTTTAGTTTTTTTTCCGGTCAAGTTTAATCAGTGGCTTGCGAATTTGTGACACGTGGGTGTATGTGAAGCCGAGTTCTTTGCTGTTGCCATAACTTTCCTGTCGGAGGGATGGAGGGGCGGAAAGTGCCCGCAACTAGCACTGTAGTACCCTCGGAAGCGCAGGGTCGCTAGTAATACCCCCGCCAAAGCTACTTAGGGCGCGTTTCAGGCCTCGTAACAAGTGACTTCCGAACAAGTTGGGCGTCGCACACGACCAAACTTGTTACGAGGTTGTTTTTTCGGCCTCAGAACAAACTAGTCCGATCACTGTCTTCATGAGTCGCACTTGTGCAGTTCTAGGTCGCAGCCAGTGGTGTGGCGTGCCAGCTCACCTCCTGCCTGGGCCTACAACGGCCAGAATCTGACGGCATGACAAACCGTTTA